AAAAAATGAACTTAAATGATTTTAGCATATGGCTGCAATATAACAAAGAGTGAAAAATTTAAGGGGGTCTGAATACTTTCCGTACCCACTGGAAGTGTTTTGAAAGGATGATCATCTAATGCAGTGGTTTAACCTCTGTTATACTTTCGCTTGATAAGCCTCAGTAGCATTTTGTTTACTCATGGCTACAGCTAAAAGACAAGCATGTTGAGTCCCCAAATTATCACTGCATGAACATCAGTGTAGTTGCAAGCAGATATAAGTTTATTAATACATTTGGCAACAACTATCACTCTAACACTGGAAAATATTGCACATTAATAAACAGTTTAAATGTCCTTTACAGCTGCTTACAGCTATGTCTAAATTAAATGTTTCTAGGCTACTAAAAAATAATCTGTGGGAGGACTCAATTATGACTAAAACAAGAGGAAGTATGTAGCACGTTCTCCATTTTTAGCATGTTGGCATGCACTGAACAGGAAGCAGAACTGAAGCTGAGGGGACTGTTTTGAAGGTATTTAGTCATAAATCTGAATATTTGATCAATTGTGACCTGTTGATGGCGCTGGATGAAGTCATGGGATTGCCAGAGTTGTTACAGTTCATCCTGAAGAGAACGTGAATGTCTGAACCAAATATAATGGTAAGCCACTGAGTAGGAGGTGAGGCTTTTTCACACAAAGTCTTATAGTGGCACTAAAGTCAGGACATCATCTGTAGGAGTCTGCAGGACTAATCATCTGAGAATCGTGAACATGTGTACAAAGTGTAGCTGCTGAATCATTGTCTCCGCCTGAATCAGAGCGATGGGCCGGCCGTCGACAGGATGACACTAGCCTGACACACTGAGCATCTGCTGCCTAAAATGTGCTTCACTGTATTTGTGTGTATAATGAATTATCTCATATTTGTGTGCTTGTGGAGGTGGTGATTTTGTTGTTGACATTTTTAATGGATTTAAAAAGCAACAGCAGCTCCTCTGGGACCAGAGCGCAGGTTAAATCCCAGCCAGCAAACTCTGCACACAGCACATGTATGATGAAGATGAGTGGCCTCGGCCTGTGAAAGCAACAGTATGATAATTCATGTGACACGTGTTTTAGTAGTGAAAAAATATGTCCTCATGTTAATCTCTCATACAGTGTGTGATGGTGCTTTCAAATGCTCTGATTCAGTCAGTGAAACAGAGCTTCTGTTCTGGTGTTGCTTATTTTAATATTTGTTAAAGATTTGTTAAAGACACTGACTGTTCAGCTCCTTACTAAATATCCTCTCCTCCTTTAACTTTGCAGATATGCGATAGCCCTGTACAACCAACACGTCTGCCCTGTGCATAACTGGTACAGCACACACACACACACACAGGCTAATGTGGGTGATGCAGGGATTACCCCTGATATTGTTTCTAGTTTTTAGATTTTCACACAGCGAACTCACAAGTTAGCTTTTGTCATTTATCTGCTGTCAGACCAGCTTCTTAACGCGACATGTTAACCAGGCTAACATGGATCAGATCATAATTTGTGATCATAAGTTATTCTGACAAACATGAACAGACAACAGTTGACAAAAAGTTGTATTTTTAACTAAATTGTCACATAATATTGTTTCCTTATCTACATTAAAACAGGACACAATGTTTTAGATTCATTTAAACTGGAGGAAAGCTCGGTTTCTGGTTCTGAAATCATCAATTTCGCTCATATCACAGGGCAAGAACAGATGTAGTGTGAATGTCAGCGGCTCCTTTTTCACAAATCTCAAAAACTCATTTATTGATTATGAATAATTACTTGTACTCGTAGTCACACAGATGCCCAGTATGAAAACTGTGTGGAAGGAAAAAGACCAGCGATGTGTTGATGTAGCATCGACTGAGGAAATGGCCCTTCACGCCAGAGGAATCTTTCTCGATCCTGCATCAACTCTCCCCATTTCCTGGCAAATATGTTCGTCTTGTTTCAAGCACAGTGAAGAAGGAATGGAGAGATGAAGATAGGGAGTGGACATCAAGAAAATAAAGTGCTGCATGGACACATGTTGACTTGATGGGAGGATGTGTAAAGAACACATATGTGTGGGTGGGTGAAGGGAGTGAGATGTCAGGATTCAGCAAACTGAAGTTTCAGGAAAGATAAAAAATGCAAACAGATGGGATTCAATGGGAGATGGGTGAGTGGAATCCAAACCTGTGCCCAGGCCATAGTGAGATTTATCTCTGATATCGAGTGAATCCTGTGGTATGTGAAAACATCAACATGGATTGAAATCACCTCCCTGCTTCATTAATAAAAGTACCTTTCCAGCCGGTATCATTAAACCCAGCAGCTTGTTATGACTCGTAGCTGACCGTTGCTTTAACATGGGAGACTGTTTCAAAACTCAAAACCAGCTGACACCATTGTTCTTTCCATATCTACACTAAAACATAAATAAATCACACAAGGTACACACAGCAAAGTATTTCACTGTGTCACGTAAGAGTCTTTCATAGCAGCATTTTGGGTTAATTTTCTACTGTGATTTTCCAAATGTGAGATTTGATGCTCAGCCATTAACTGAGTTTACTTGCTTCAGTTGTCCTGCATTATGAGAAATTCATTATGAGCCATTAAGTTGGCTCTTAGTGACAAAAAATCCTGAAATGGGGATTAGACTTTGAATGTACCTACAGCAGTTTAAAGTGAAGATTCAGTGATTTACACCGGCCCACATTAGTTTTTGAATAATTGACAAATTTTTCTAAAACCTCTGTATTCATACACACAGTAACTGTCTACACACTGAAGAATGCATACGCATGTGTGTGTTTTCAGGCTTTACAATGAGTCATGTGCGGAGCAGCTGCCATTACAGACGGGTCCTGTCCTGTGCTGCACCCCAGACAACATCCCACTCATCAGGTTGGTGTTTAAATCCACGTTGCCCCCTGAAAGGTTTCCCTTAGTACTCTAGTGACCTTGCTGCTGCTATGTGTTTACTTGAGAAATTCCTGTTATATAATAATCACATTTGTCTTTTTCTTTGTTCTAAACAACAGTACATTGTTGAGATAGAGTCGACACAACTGGTGTGGTTTCTTGAAACCACAGAACTAAATCAACAACAGGACTGACTGAGGATCCTTTTTCTGCTCTAAAAATAGTGGTAATAATGATGTTGGCGATGCTGTTCAAACACTCCAGAGCACACGCTGTGCATGTGATGTGGCTATAACTATAACACCTTGCCTTCGCCAGTTGTTTTTCTATGCTCTACTATGTCTGGTTTTTATTAAACAAGAAATGCTTTATTTGTATTGTTTTATAATATAGCCAACAAAACATTGTGTACTGGTGGTGGGGAAGTAAACCCAAAAGGAGCTGTTGTGACCAAGAGTTTTCCTTGTGTCACCATATTTCAGCAGCCACCTACTTTGTGTGAATGAGCACGTGTCACTTTGTGGTGTCACCACTGCATTGTAACGTTAAATGATGAAACCGGTGCAGAAATGTGGCACTGAATTTACCATGAGAGGTGCTGGGAACTGTTCGTTGCTCTGTCTTTGGCGTCACAATAAAAGCTGTAACATCCTTCTTGTCTAGTTGAGCTGTTCATGGACAGATTGCAGTGATAGTTGGAGCTGCAGTGCAGAATGTGTGAGATAAGTCCACACGTGCCCGACAGAGTCTGTGGGGATCATGGACAACTTTTCCTTGACAGGAAGAGCTTTTGTTGTGTGTAGTGGATCCTTCACTGCTCCTTGAAATGTCATCACATTGAGCTGGAAAAAAAAAAGTTAATAAGAAATGGGGATTATGACGCTGTGGATGCAGGAATGTGGGAAAATGCTTGTTCCAGTCCTCATGTTTCAGTTACACAACATTTTTCATGCTGTTTTTGATCTGTAGATAAAGCTCTCTGGGTCATTCTTTCCTCCACCTCCCAGCAGGACGGCTGTTCTCCATTTATACATGTTTTATTCATTTCT